GTGAAGTAAAAAGTGGTGTAGATATTTTGAAGAGAGCTCACTGAAAATATTTTGAGTGCTTCTCACAAAGTATGTTACAAAAACTTAATATGAAGTAATGAGTGTTTTCTTTCGTTAACTTCCTAAAATATTCTCACTAGAAACGTCCTGTTTTACTGTTGTTGAGTTGTTTTTTAATGGTTGATGTTTATGTGTATTTTGCTCTGTTTTCCGTATTTTGTATGCGTTTTCGGTTTGAGAAGATGTCTCTGAGTTAATTTTGCATGCTTCTGGATGTTCAATGTGTTATTTGAATGTTGACAGTGTTATTTGTTCTATATAGACGTCTATTTGCTTTGCGTTTTAAGTTTGTTACGACCGTTGTGGTTTCAGAATGCAGATCTGAGTTGATATGTTCTTGTATTTGCAACGTTTTACCTTTGTTAAAATATGAAGAAACGCATGTTTTTATAGTAAGTAATTTACTCCAAGTTTCTTAGAAACAAAGGCCTTGGCATTGCTATGTATTGTTGTTTTTTTACATGTGTATGTGGGTGAGACGTTGCTATTGCGTGATGATTTTTATTTTGTTTCGTTCATTTGAACATCAAGCTGATACTATTGTTTCTTATTGTTTAGTGTGAAAACTGCTACAACTGGATCTGTTTTCTGCTTAGAGACTGAGAAAGTTATTTCTGCTGAGGCCAAGGCTATCACTGCTGGCGCAATCGCTGAGATTAGAGCAGAAGATGGTGATGCTGATGGTGCTCGTATAGGGTCAAAGCTGATTGATCCTTATGGCAATGTCTGGTTGATCTGCACACCAGTGAAGGAATCCGAGTAATTGCTGAAGTCCATTAACACCTCTTGTTCAGTTGCTTTTGTGTTTTTACTGCTTTCAATTAAATTCCGGTTTTGTATTCCGATGATGAAACTTTCATATTAACACTCTAGCTTGGTGTTATGGGGTTAACTTTTTTGGGGTATCGATGTCCATTGTTGATTTTGAACAGTGAGAACTTTTGTCTGTAGTTAATCTGACACCTTCCTTTCTAGTAGATGGTGAATTCTGCTTATTATTATTGCTCTTCGTATTGGATCATTTGCTTTGTTTGTTTTGTCTAATCGAAATGTCACTGTGCTTCGTTAGCCACAATATTTATAAAGTAATGCGAAGCGTGCTATTTTTGCTTCTTTTCTGGAGGCAAATACTACTAAAATAATAAGATAAACTTTGTAAATAACTAAATATATCCTTGATGTATCATATGGTATATAATTTACATTATGTTCTAATGATTTCGAGTCCCGGTTTTATACATCATTCAAATTCAACCTGCATGTGATGTATTTCATATTTTTAAAATCTTCGTATTATATTTAGCTTTCAAATATACATTTATACATTCGACTATTTTAGCAAAAACTGTTATTCTACCACTTGTCTTGTACTCTTATTTGAACTATTCCTAATTAATAAGACTGATGTAGTGAAATTTAAATTTATTGTTTTCCCTATTTAATACGCGTGTCTAATTATATATGAACAGTAAATATAATACAATATAAATGGGAAATATTATTGGTGAGATTTTAAAAGGGTTTATGGTGGAAGGCTGTTCATCAACAACGTTTAATGGTGAAGGAAAAGAGTGACAAATTGATGCTTTACGTATTTTTTTTAATGACATCTATGTGGACACGCGTCCAACAAAGTATACGAATAAATGCCTTTTTAGGGGATACTTTACGAGCATACTTGTGGGTTAGAAAATTAAATATTTAGGATTTTAGGTGTTGTTTGGTATGGTGCATTAATAAAAATAATGTATAGTGTAGTTGTAATGTTTTGTTTGATATATATCTTTTATTAATTAGATATTTTATAGTGTATCAGGATGTATATTACTAGTATCATGAAATTTTAAGTATTAATAATGTAAGGAGATTTAATGCATGCATTAGTATATGTAAAAACATCATTACTTTTCAGAACCTTTTTATATTTTCGTAATAATTGTGGCGAATATCCTTATCAATAAGTATTTTAATATAATAAATTATATTTTTAATTCATCAAATTAAACAATATATAAGTAATAATCTATATATAATTAATGGAAACATTATAATCAACCCTATCAACCGATCCCTTTGAGTGGAACAACTAGAGGATTAGTTATTAGACTAGAGGTTTTCGAAACTCTGCTCTTGTTCGAAGAAAAGAGAAAAAGAAAAAAAAATAGGCAATTTAATTTGATCGTGAAGAAATTAGTTAATTAACTTGATGAGTTACAAATGAACAACCACTTATACATATAATTAGTTAAGGAATAATAGATGAATAATAATTAATATTGTAAAAGATTCTTATATTTACTACTGAGTCCACTCTTTAAAACATTAAAATAGACTAAAAATATTCAAAATTTTCATATGAAATATCTATACTTCTCGAGTCTCTTTTCATGTAAGTCAGTTTTGTTGAGTAAGGCAAGACACTAATAAAAAATGTCCGATAAGATAACAGTGAAATAATATTCAAGTCTAAACTTTCCCTTTTAATTTGAATCAAGAGAGGACAAACTAAATCAAGCACAACAAAGAATGGACAATAAGTGTATCAACTAAATAAAAATAAGAAGGCAAGAATAAACCAATCAACACGCAAGACACAAAGATTTACGTGGAAAATTTTTCGATGTGAAGACTAAAAAACAATGGGACCAAAAGTATAATCACCAAGAATTACAATATTGTTCTCCAAAATTGGCCACAAAACAATGCCAAACAACGAAACTAAATTGCACCAAAACTAGAGGACTAAAGGAGACAATTCACCCAAAAATAAGCTACTGTTCACACCTCAAAATCAGAAGCTACAAATAATCATTCCGATTTCCATCGTTGAAATGCAAGAACTAGATGCTGAAAATTACCAGTTAAAGTTTGAATACGATCCAACGGTTAATGAAGCAGAAAACTTTGTTTAAAGAGGACTGCCTGAATAGAAATTTCTCTCTTTCTCTCAATCTCTAAAACGTCTCTCTTAATTTTTCCCTCTTGTGTGTCTGAAAATAAGACCTAAAGAAGTTGTATATATTCTACATAATATTGGACTTATGAGCAAAAATGGGCTGAGATAAATAAGACTCTTATTTATTCGCATAGAAAGAAAAAAGAAGACCCTAAACCCAACAAGTTTTTATTGTACACATAAACTTACTACATGAAAAAAATAATTTCAAATAGCGCTTACATATCATGATGACATGACAAGTTGTTAAACTAATTTTATTCAACTAATCAAACAAAAAAATCCTTATTTGTATACTAGATGAACATAACACGTATCAGCTCAGATCCAATAGGTAGGTTGATATATCTTCGAAATTTTTCATGTCTTTGAGAACTATAATTAAAACTTTCCTCCCTATAATTTATGTTGAAAATGCTCTAAACATTTGAAAATTTTCATGCTTATAGATATGTGAAGGCTGATTTCCTTAATCAGGGGATTTGAGACTAGGGTAAAATATAGGTAAGATTAAGAAGGTTCATTCGACTAATATAATTTGTTTATTGATTCATTTATTAAAATGTCAAGATTATGAGGGTATAATTTCATATATGTCACTTTTTAATATATAGATATATGATGTTTTTGGTTATTTTCAATTTTTTTGTTTTTTGAGTACTGAATATGCATTATAATTGTAATGTTGATAATTTAATTTTTATACACTTGAATCGAGAATCTATGATCTATCTAGAACAATCTTCATAATAAAAGTTATTCACACCATCCTTATCGAAAGCCAAAAATGAAATGCGATGGTGCCAAAAAAAGAAACGAAAAAAATCGAAACATTCCTATTCGAACTTGAAGTCCTATAATTTACAACTCTTCGTAATTCTTCGTAATAAAATTATATACCCGCCATCCTTGTCAAAAGCCAAAAATGAAATGCGATTGTGACTAAGAGTTAGTTACATAAGATCCGATGGGCCCGCCCTAAAATGCAATATGCGTTATCTGAGATCAATATATACTTTACACTTCCTTTTCTTCCCATTTATCTCTCTCTTTATCTGAATTTACAATCGCAGAGACGAAGTTGCTGATTTGGGTTTCGAAAATTTGAAGAAAAAAGTCAAGTGCTGAAGTTTTTGATGAGTTTTATTGGTTGATTTGCTGAAATGGGAGTGTTTAATTTTACAGTGATTCCTATTGTAGATGACGACCCACATTTTCCATCATCATCCTCTTCAAAATCTTGGTAATTTTCTCTTTAAATTTTGTTTGGTTAAAGTTTTCTTCATGGGGAAAATTGATCAGTGACGGTTCAGTACCTCTGTCTCTGTATTCAGAAACGTAGAGACGAAGCTGATTTGGGTTTCGAAAATTTTAACAAATAATAATCAAGTGTTGAAGTTTCTGATGAGTTTAATTGGTTGATTTGCTGAAATGGGATTGCTCAATTTTACTGTGATTCCGATTGTAGATGACGACCCACGTGTTCCATCCTACTTTTATCTCCTTGATCAGTAACGGTTCAGTCACTCTGTTCTAGAATTTTGTCTTCTTCTCTGCTCCATTTTAATTGATAGGAAAGTTGGGTGTATATGTATTTATCTCCTCTCTCTCTCTGTATTCGGAATCGCAGAGACGAAACTGCTGTTTCGGGTTCCTTTTAATTCAAGGGCTTTCAAGTGGTGAAGTTTCTGATGAGTTTAATTAGTTGATTTGCTAAAATGGGAGTGTTCAATTTCACTGTGATTCCGATTCTCCTCAAAATTTCTTTGCGATTGCTTGTTATCAGTGACGGTTCAGTCCTTCTGTTCTAGAATTGTGTTGTTTTAGTCGGTTCATTTTGGCTTCTTATATATATATATATATATGCTTGAGTTACCATTTTCTGTGGCTAATTACGATTTTTCCTTTTTTAGTTTGCTTACCAAAATTTGTTTTCCTAAGTTGTATATATCTTCTCCCTATCTCCCTCTGTATTCAGAATCGCAGAGAAGAAGAAGCTGATTTGGGTTCCTTTTAATTTGAAAAAAATTAGTGTTGAGGTTTTTGATGAGTTTAAGCTGATTTGCAAAATGGGAGTGTTCGATTTCACTGTGATTCCGATTCTCGATGACCCACGTTCTCCTTCATCACCCTCTTCAAAATCTTGGTAACATTTTCTTATCCTTTATGTGTTTTATTAATAGTTCTCTTGATGGGGGCAAATTTGGTGTGATAGGTTATCGAAAACAACCTCTCTACCTTCATAGGGTAGGGGTAAGGCTGCTTAAATACCACCCTCACTTGATCAATTTGTGGGATTACACGGGGTTTGTTGTCTTTGTTGTTGCTTCAATTCAAGCATTCTCGAAAATAGTCTCTCTAACTTCACAGTTCAGGGTAGGAGTTAGACTATGTACACGTCATGTTGCTTTTGTTTTTATAGCTCAATCTAAGCATTATGAGAAACAACCTCTCTACCTTCACAGGGTAGGAGCACCCTCGCTTGATCAACTTGTGGGAATATGCGGGGTTTGTTGTTGTTGTTGTTATCGCTTCAATCCAAATAATTATTGGAAATAGTATCTACCTTCACGGTCTAGGGTAGGAGTAAGGCTACGTACACACCACCTTCCACAAAATTCACTTGTTGAATTATATTAGATATGTTGTTGGTTCAGTCGTTTTCTTTTTTTCCCAAAAAAATCTGTCTTTTTGTGTATTGATTGCATTTCTTCCTTGAAGATAAGAGTGGATCTACTATTTGAGTAGCATTTGTGTTTTGGTTGGTTCATTTTTGGCTTCTTCTTTGTGCTCTGTTTTAATTGTTGGAAATTTCGGTGTATAGCACTGCTTCTTCTTGTTTTTATTCTCCTTTTTTATTTTAAGTTGTAATCCTTGTAGACAAGGGTGGATGTAATATTTGAGTAGCATTTGTGTTTGAAACATTTAAGTTGAAAATTTTTCCTTTAAAAGAAGTATGTTTATATTGTAATTGTGTTAAAGTACTACTCATTCTATTTCATTTTATATGGCGGTATTTGATTTGACATGTAGTCTAAAAGAAAGAAAGAAAACATTTAAGGGACTAAAAAAGGGACTAGTGTAGTGTAAACTTGTCCTCTTTAATTTGATATTTATATGCCTATAAGAGCAATGTCATTACGCGCAAAATGAGAAGTTTAAACTGAAAAGTTTTTCACGAAGTAGTCAATCTTTTAGGAACAAATTAAAAAGGGACTAGTGTCGTGTAAAATGAAACAAAGGAAGGTAATAAGAGCAATTGATTTAAGATTTTGAATTCACCACTACTTGAAAATTTGTATTTTGTCATTGAAAAATTGCCATTTGTTTTTTAATTTCGAAGGTTTGATGATTAGTCCTTGTTTGTTTTTTCCAGAACCTGGTTTTGTGATAAGTGGGGCTATGGTATTTGAATAGCATCTATGTTTGAACTATTTAAGTTGAATATTTTTTAAGAATGTATATTTATCTTGTTATTGCATTCACTGTCACCAAATACTATTCATTCTGTTACACTTTATGTATGACGGTATTTGACTTGATACAAAGCTTTAAAAGACAGAAAAAGAACTGTAGGCGCATGCCCGGAAGTACATTAGACTTGTCTATATGTCTTAAGAGCATGTCATTAAGCGCAAAATGAGAAGTTCATCTGAGAAGTGTCATTCTTATTGAAACAGACTAGAAGTGTCATTCTCAAGTGCAAGTGATTTAAGATCTTGAATTCGCCTCTTCTTGAGAATGTGCTCTGCCATTTGTTTTTATTTTTATTTTTAACGTTTGATGATAAACATCAAGAATTTGATCTGTTTCACATTGTTGGTGCATTTTCTTGTATAAATTTGTCTTTTTCCAATCACTGAATTATTGAAAATTGCCTTTATCTATCACATTTTTGTTGTTTAGTTGATTTGTTATCTGTCTTTTGAAATATCCACAGTCATAATATGATGGAGAAGGGATTGAAATCAAGTCATTTACTAGTTAAAGAGATGAACAAGAAAAAAGAAAGAATCAGCAAGTTTAAAGCTACTAGTAGTGCTGCAGCATCAATGAAGTTTTGTGTATGTGCACCCCCAACCCACCCTGACTCATTCAAATGTCGTCTTCACCGAGCCACCACTTCAGCTCACCCGAGAACCGGTAAATACTTCTGCTACATATGTAGAAAAAAGGGTTATGATAAGAAACATTCAATTTTCCTTGTTCTCACGAAGCGTGTGTTTTGTTCTTCTTATCAGTTTCGTTGTCAACATCAAAGAAGATTTGCTTATGTGCACCTGCCACCCACCCTGGCTCATTCAAGTGTCGCCTTCACCGAACCACCACTTCATCTCACACAAGAACCGGTAAATACTTCTGCTACGAAAAAATGGTTTGTGACAAAAAAAGGTTCAATTTTTCGTGTTCTCACAAACCATGTGTTTTCTTTTCCTTCCTTTTTTGCAGTTTCATCGTCCGCTCATCACATAAATGGCGTCAAAGGTACAAAAAACTTGAATCCCTTAAAGCTGGTCACGTCTTCACAAAGTGGCAGAGTCAGAAATTCTAGCAAAGGGAATGTTCATGGAAAGCCTAAACTATCGAGATTCGGTAGGGCTGCTCTTGCTCATGCTACTGCTGCTGCAACTTCTAGTGTACAAATCCAACCAATTTCTGCAGCATTTGGACAAATGAGTCTTAGTTAGAGAGCCAAAAGATGGGCAAACAAGAAAAAGAAAAACTCAAGATCAAGATTCTACTTTTTAAAGAAGTTACTTGATTAATGACTACTAGATCTTGCTTACTTGCTCTGTATAGTTTCAATTTGGTAAATACCAAAAAAATATGACAACTATACAACTGTAAATATTTTTTTTCTTTACTTGGGAATGGCTTTGTAAATAGTGACATATAATCAAGAAGTACCTGCAGCAGCTACACTCAAGTTTTTAGTACTGATGAGTGTCTTGTTTGTTATCAATGCTGTGTTAACTTGACTGCAAATATCCATATGTTACTATTTCTATCCAATTTTTGCTATTTTATTATTCTACTGTATTTAGATGTTTATGGAATATCCCATGTAATTTATGGTCTATGGACAGATAACATTGACCTGTGTTTGTTTTCGAAATCCCCGCAAGGGTGTGTGTTTGATCTTCTAAAAGCTATGTATTGTGTTGATATTTTTGTTGTACATATGTGTTTGTGGTGGTATAATTTTCCCAAACTTGTATCGTTTTGCTCTATAATGGACGTCCCTCGAAAATAAAATAATAAAATTGTATAATCTCTTATGGTTGTGTATTAATATGGTGGCACATTTTGTGACATTATGACAATTAAGATAAATGAAATTCATCTGTTTGGTATGTTCAATGTTGTGAGTAAATAGGATTTTATTTTTATTTTTGTGCAATTTTATTAAAAAAGATTTAATCATTTATTGCAAAAGTATTAACTTTATCCAAAGACTTTTGATGCTTGAAAAAATAGATAAAGAATACTAGAATGTACTCGAATAAAAAAAAAAATTATTTAAACCACTAGAAATGTTCAATTTGGTTATATACAAATAAATCAATCTAAGCTAGCATTTGACTACAACATTTGTATAAGATTTTAAAAAGTTATCTTCAAATATCTATTTGATCATGAAAATTGATCAAATTTTAAAAATCAATCTTCAAATATTTTCATCAATTTTCAGAGAGAAATTTCACATTCACCCTCAAAACCTTTTCATAAGAGAAATTTGACTATAGCCAAACATAATATCACCATACAAAAATTACAATTTCAAAAACTCAATATCTTTTAATTTTAACTTCAAAATCTACCGCAAAACATAACATAAAATTTCAAAAACTCAATATTTTCAATTTTAGCTTCAAACATGCAATTTGCGCAAGCTCAATATTTTCAATTTTTGCTTCAAAATCTATAACAAAACATATAATTTTGAAAATTTAATATTTTTCAATTTGAACTTCAAAATCTATGACAAAACACGAGCGGAACCAACCTTAGAAATCGTGGATAAGGCGGAACCAACCACTAATAGGCCCCCCTTGTGGCCTTCCTTTGTTTGTCTTCTTCCTCGATTTTCCCCCAACTTGAGAGAAAAATCAATGACCATACAGTTCCATTTCTACCAAATATTCTTGTTTTTTCTCTTCAAATTAATTTAATGGAGGCAACTTCAACTGCAACTGCGCTTCGTCGTCTTTCGCTTCTCTCTTCCCATTTTCGTACTCATTGCTCGTCTCCTCAAGTGTCGGCATTCAATTGCAGCTCCACCGATGGTGAAAATCATGAAAATGGGTGTGTTTTCTGTATGATTGTTCTAGGTGAAGCACCTGCTTTAAAGGTACAGTCCTTATTATCACATTTGTTAAACAGCGGTTTTCTTACTTGGGTCAATTTGTATTTGTCTTCAATTAGTTTCTATAATCGAAATGGGTCGATTTTATAGTTTTTCAGCTGTTTTAATGGAACCCTTTTGAGTAAAAGAACAGTTTTTGAAACAAACTCTACCTTCAGTTTTGTGAATTGTTAATGACTACTACACCAATTACGAAAGTAGAATGTTTGGTAGAGGTGATTTTGGTATGTGATTCGTATTTAACTTATGGGTTTGGAATCTTTAGTCAAACAATGTTAAATTAATGAGTAGGAAGAGTATATTTGAATGGCCTGCAAACACTGGTACATGATGATCCCCTTTTGGGTACAGTACACTCATTTTAGGTACATTAGATTTAGGACTAACATGATTGTTTCTAAATTTGGCATTCTACTGACGGATGTCTTAACTAAATTAGAATGAGATACCAAAAGAACAGGTTTACATAAGCTGTACAAGCCTTGGTGAGCAGAGTTTACCCGGTACCTGTATTGGTGGGAAGTAGCAGGTACCTCGTGGAATTTGTTGAGTTATGTGCAAGTTGGCCCGGACGCCACGATTATTTGAGAGAAAAAGAAGAACAGGTTTATATAAGAAAAAGTGGAACTTATTAGTTAGTGAATAAGCTCTTCTTCAAGTTTCAGAGTTGTTGGAGTTATCCACCCTTTAGGTGCGGGTAAGTGATAGAGTAACCTACATTGGTTGATGGAATGAGTTGTTGTGGCTTTGTATGGTTTTGGACAATCTTTCACTTCATAAGCTAGCTTTAAGGGTTAAGCTAAGCCCAATATTTGTTTTCTTTATAATGTTATAAGTTGTCTCCTTATATGATCTTGGATAATCCTCATTTTTTTACTTTAGTTTTAGGATTTGTTGGTCTCAAGGGTCAATTTTTACTGCAGCAGGTATCACTTGAAGGAAATAACTTGATAGGCAGAAAGCCAAGTTTCACAAGCTAGACTTTCTGAGAGTTACCAACTCTGATTTTGAAATCTTGTATTACTATAAATATCAAAATTTCAAAGCACAATATGTTCATTAGCTCCCAACTTGTTGATTGTAATAATGAAAGCTTGATTTAGAGACAGAATTTACAGTGATAAAAAGTTGCAGACTTTTTGTGAGAGAAGTAATTACAATGATAGATACTGATTGACTCATGAAAAATAATTGAATTGGATACCCCAGTGGGAGACCTAACAGTCAAAGAGTTGGAGTAACGACCTTGGAACCAAGATTCGAATTCCAGTAGAGGTTATACTAGGTGAATTTTTCCCACCTAACACAGTTATGTATCAGGTACCCTTAGGTTAGTTGAGGAGCGTGTAACCTGCCCGTTAGCTCAGGAGTGTGCAAGCTGGCCCAGATACCATGATATCCTTAACAAGGAGTTGAAATGGTTTCAGGCTCTTCTTAGTCTTGCTTGTTATACGTTGTGTACTTGCAAACAAGTTTTCGGAAGGTAGACGTAATAACAAAAAGCTATTTACTACAAAGATATTGCTGTCATGTCCTTTTACATTGCATTTTCCTCTGTTTATTATTCTTTGCCAGAAGTGAAAATTTGCTATACTCTGTAATATTCAAAGGGTGGAGATAGAAGGGATAAATGATGTGGAACAATATCTCTGCTTTGTGCTACTTTTGTAATTCTTGGTGCAGCTTGATTTAACTGCAGGTCTATGAGGATGATGTATGCCTCTGCATTTTGGATGCAAACCCATTGTGTTTTGGGTAAGGTATCTTCTTCCGACCATTATCTTTTTCAGCATCTTTTGAATGTATTTCTTACAATCTTGGCATTGGAAGATCTGTTTATCCCAGCATATGCATCATCTCATCTGAGTTGGTCTTTTTTGGTGTGTTTGCTGAAAATCTGACCTGCCACGTTGGGACCGTGATATGAAATTAGTAAAAGAATAGTAATTCAAGGAAAAATCCTTATGCATTCAGTCTATGAACAAAAAGCGAATATGTTGCACATTCGTGAACCATTTTACTCTTTTTTTCTGATAAATGGAAGAGTTCAGTCTATTTTGCTCAAATATGAAAGAAAAAAAGAGAGAAGAATTTACAACAACCAAGTTTGAACTACATAAATTCGACCATAGGTGTGCTGATTTCTAGTTTTGCATGTATCCTAATTAAAGATGATTTATTCACATGGGTCAAACAACAGCTAACTCAACTTATTTAAGGAACTTCTATTGAGAAGCAAGATTCGTGTTCCTGGAGCTAATATATTGAAATCCATAGTTTGTTATTCATCTTAGTTTACCGAATTAGTATAGCTGAAAAAATGTGATTAGCCTTTGTTAGAATATGAATAGGTTTATACAATCCTACTAGAATAAGAATAAGTTTATACAATCCTAGTAGAATAGGAATAGGTTTATACAATCCTATTTAGAATAGAATAAGAATAGAAATAGGAATAGTAAATAGTATCCTACTTGGTAAAGGATTGTATTGTAGTGTCTATAAATAGGGTCTCAATGTAATAATGTAAACAACAACAGCAATTCAATAATATTATTTTTCAATATTTCTCACATGGTATCAGAGCAGGGCCCGTCTCACCCGATGTTGGGGCCCCCAAAATCAAAATTGCCCACGCACCAGATGTTAAGCACTGGGCGTGAGGTGGGGTGTTAAAGAATGACAAATGTCCCACATCGGTGATTAATGAGATGGGTGAACTCCTTATATGGCTTGGGCAATCCTCCTCCCTTTGAGCTAGCTTTTGGGGTGTGAGTTAGGTCCAAGACCTAGTTTCACATGGTATCAGAGCCTCTACGATCTTGATAGAAAATCAAAGAGCTTCCGCTGCCCGCGGGTGGCACCCATATATGCTGCCCGTCTGGCCAATGATTATGTTAGCAAAAGTTGGGTCACCATGCATCATTCTAGTGACTACTTTCTTATATCTAATTTGTGTAGCACCGTGCTATCATTCCGGTGACTGCTTTTTCATATTTAATTTGTGTAGCACTGTGTCATCATTCTGGTGACTACTTTTTCATATCTAGTTTGTGTAGCACTGTGTCATCATTCCAGTGACTCCTTTTTCATATATAATTTGTGTAGCACCGTGTCATCCTTCCGGTGACTACCTTTTTTTGCATATCTGATTTGCGTAGCACCGTATATCTCTCCGGACTATTTTTCATATTTAATTTGTGTAGTACCGTGGATTTTTCCGAACTATTTCTCATATCTGAGTAGCATAGCATCATGTGTCTTTTCAGTGACTCCTCAGATTTGATTTGCATAGTTTCATTCATCTTTCCGGTGACTCCTTAAATCTGATTTGCATAGGGTTGTGCCATCATTCCAACCCTATCCGTATAATTTTTCTTTTTCAATAAGGTCGTGCCATCATTCCGACCCTACCCATATTATTTTACTTTTTCAGCTGAGTCGTGCCATCATTCTGACCCTACCCATATTATTTCTCTTTTTCAATGGGGTCGTTCCATCAATTCGAACTATCCTATATAATTTCTATTTTCTAGTTGGGTCATGACATCATTCCGACCCTACCCATATAATTTTATTTCTTAGATTGTGACCACTTTTAGCCATCAAATCTAATACTCCGACATATGAGCATGTTTCGGCCAGTTTTTTGGTGACTTGTTTAATATCGACTAATCTATTGATTCCAGCATGAGCCATACTTTATACTAGATTTCGAGCACTTTGTTGCTCGGGGGGTTTAGTAGCCTTGTATGTCGATTATGTGAGTCAGTCTTTGCAAGTTTGGTTTGGGAAGTTCAACACTAAAATTTTATCACTCAGTGTTTTATCGGCATTATGCATCAAATTCAGTATTTCATGAGAAGATTAAGCACATTGAGATTGACTGACATTATGCATCAAATCCAGTATTTAATGAGAAGACAAGCACATTGATATTGACTGACATTATACATCAAATCCCGTATTTAATGAGAAGACAAGCACATTGAGATTGACTGTCAATTTTGTGAAGTCGACTGATCAACTTGCAAATATCTCACCAAGCTCCTCATCGGTCCTCGTGTTAATTACATTTGTAACAAGCTAGGTACATGAATTGTATGCACTAGCTTGAGGGGGAGTGTTAGAATATGAATAGGTTTATACAATCCTACTAGAATAGGAATAAGTTTATACAATCCTAGTAGAATAGGAATAGGTTTATACAATCCTATTTAGAATAGAATAAGAATAGAAATAAGAATAGTAAATAATATCCTACTTGGTAAAGGATTGTATTGTAGTGTCTATAAATAGGGTCTCAATGTAATAATGTAAACAACAACAACAATTCAATAATATTATTTTTCAATAATAGCTAACTCAACTTATTTAAGGAACTTCTATTGAGAAGCAAGATTCGTGTTCCTGGAGCTAATATATTGAAATCCATAGTTTGTTATTCATCTTAGTTTACCGAATTAGTATAGCTGAAAAAATGTGATTAGCCTTATTATCTTTTGTATTAATACATCTTGTCCAATAATGTCCATAACTTTTGCAGGCACTCGCTTGTCATCCCAAAGTCTCATTTTACTTCTTTGCAAGAAACTCCGCCATCAGTAAGTTGCCCTCTTCAAAGGTCATATACCTTAATGTTTTGCTTAATTGGATTGTGCAGACTGTTGTTACTTCTTCCCTTTCTCCTGCATACCCTGATCTTTCTTTTCCTTTAGCCCATGTACCGATGTGATTCATTGAGTTAACAAAGAACCAATCAACCAGGATCAAGATCTGAAGCCAAAACAATAATTGGATGGACTGATTTCAAAGGGCATTTTTCATCATGTACCCTGCCCAATGAATGAGCCAAAGTGATACGAATCCTTTCCCCTTCAGTGTCCATGTTGAGATGCTTCCATTGCTCCACTACAATCTGCTGCATCATTGAGCAGTACATTCTTAATAATGTTTAATATGTGACAAGTCGTTTGAAATACAACCATCTTGTCATGTTGACTGGACTTCTTCGCGCTTTCACGAGTATATTAATAAGTCCTAGTACAACAACAATCATACCTAGTGTGATCCCACAAGTAGGGTCTGAGGAGGGTAGGATGTACACAAACCTTACCCCTGCCTTTGTGGGGGCAGAGAGGTTGTTTCTGAAAGACCCCCGGCTCAAAAGAGAAGAAGAGAAGAGAAAAGGAAGGAAGAGAGAAAAAAGAATTCAAAGCAAGGAGAAAATTATATAACAACAAATAGAAAGATACAAAGCAAATGAGCAACAAAGAATAAGAAGCTATGCGAATACTAAATGATCCTACTAGTACGGAGAAGTGTAGAGGAGGCTAGCTTTGGATGTGAGCGTAATTGACTGGCCAACGTTGTGCCTCATACACCAAAGTTGGCCTAGCTATCACTCTGTAGAACTTACTGGTAAGCTTTGGTGACACATTCTTAGCACACAATACCCTGGAAGCGAGCATCCTTTCAGCCACATCGCTTCAATATGATCTGTGACATCCTCATCAATCTCCCTGTCTGCTTGAAACTTCTTCTTTTGGATATGACTTGTGCATCGATCTTTACATCCACCTCTGCCTCACATGTTACATCATTGAACTTACACTCTAGGTACTTTGTTTTAGTCCTACTTAACGAATGTTTTAGACTCTAGGTTTTGTCTCCAAACTTCTAGCTTATCATTAATTCCATCACGTGTCTTGTCAATCAATACTATGTTATCTGTGAATAGCATACACCACATCACCTCCCCTTGAATATGTCGCGTCAATTCGTTCATCCTATGGGCTGATCCCTGGTGCCACCTCATCACATCCTAAAAGTGGTTTGTGTCCCCTCCAAATATTCTAACTCAAGTCTTGGCTTCATCGTACATATCCTTAATAACCCTAATGTAAGTCATAGGTATGCCTCTAGACTCCATACATCTCTAAAGGACCTCCCTAGGGACTTCATTGTACGCCTTTTATTGGTAACACCATGTGTAGGTCTTTCTTCTATTCCTGTACTGCATTAACATTTTTCTTACAAGATGAATGATTTCTGTAGTCGACTGCCTCGACATGAATCCGATTTAGTTCTCGGAGATGTACACTCCCCTCCGTATCCTTGTCTCCACCACTCTCTCCCAAACTTCCATAGTATGACTTAGTAGCTTGATACCTCTCTAATTGTTGCAATTGTGACTATCACCTTTGTTCTTGTACAATGGGACCATTGTACGTCACCTCCATTCTTCTGGCATTTTAGAATGTCCTAAAAATAACATTAAACAACCGGTCAGCCACTTTATACCTGCATTGCCTGTGTACTTCAAAAAATCCACTGGGATTTTGTCTGGCCCAGTTGCTTATCCTCTTCTGATCTTACAAACAACGTCTGCAACCTTTATTCACCTACAACACTCAAAATCTCTATGACTCTTGGAATGTTTGAACTCCCCCAATACGATATCCTTATCCCCCCTTCGTTCAATAATTTATGGAAATATGTATGTCACCTCTGTCTAATGTGCGTCTCTTCTACCAACACTTTGCCATTCTCGTCCTTGATGCATTTCACTTGGCCCAGGTCGTGAACCCTCCTATTCTTGCCTGGCAAGCCTTTACAACTTCATATCCCTGCTTTTGTTCTCGAGCTCTTCATACAAGTGCTCAAAAGCTGTTGTTTTAGCTGTCGTGACCGTTACCTTTTTCTTCCTTCTCACATCTGTTATGAAAAAAAAAAATAGTTCAAATAACATATCTGTAGCATCCAAACTGTTGATTTGAGTTTTTTCAGACAGCACATTGTATTAGTATACCTGATGAGTTGGATGTGCTTACCATTTCATACCTAAAAATTGGCATGCATCTGATTTTTCTGCTTTCTTTGAAAATCTTTTAGTCATTAGCTAAAGTAACCATTCATAGTTATGTTCTTTTGTTATAAGATTTTTACATTGTCATAATCTGATGAAAGATATTATTACTTTTTGGGTTGCTTTAATTAAACGGCCCAGCTGCTCGCCTGCTTTCACGACATAGTTAAAATTCTACTTTATCCCTTAGAATTATACGGACTCTAGTCTACAAGTTTTCTGATTTTTTTTTTATGCATTTAATTGCAGGTTGTTGCTGCCATGAGTTCAAAATTGCCCTTGATTAGCAGTGCAGTCATGAAAGCCACTGGTTGTGGTATGTTAATTTTTTTCTTGATGACAAATCATGATTGTTTTGGTTGATACCATATGTATATTGTTTTTCTTTCTCCTCTTTAATTCCCTTCAGGGGAACATATGTTTGTTTCTCTAACTGTATTGTTTGTGTTGCTAGTAATTCTGTTCTCGTGACATCTCCTATCAAGTCCTTTGTGTTTTGCTGTTTTAAATGGTAATCAGGCAATTACTAAAAACAGGGGCTGTTCTTTTTTCAAAATGGTGCAATTTAGCAGGATAGTGAACCCTTGTGTATAAGCTCTATGCTTTTGATGAGTAATACTGCAATATTACAAAACATACAAGCTCTTTTCCCCTTTTGCGTTATGTGGGAAAATATCTGGAGTTTGAATAAGTGTAAGAAGTAGAGAACCTCAAGGTAATGGTTGTGGAAGCGGAGGAGAGAAGGCATTCACAAAATGCTCACCATGAAAATTGATTTTCTTCCTGTTGGGTAATCCCCCAGCTACGGATTGTCGACATCAATAATTAAGCATCAAGTAACTTTACAGAAAATTCGTAAGCCTTAAAGTGTGGAAGACATGTATCAATTCACCTATTTTTGGCTGTCTTGCAGAAAATAGTACTTAGATGATTGAAATGGTTAGGGGTAGGAATTGTACTGGTTGTGGCACAAACAACACTGGATTTGTGCTTCGGCACTAAGCAATGTCAGAGGTAGTGTTAAGTTAACTTCCCCTCCATAGTCTAACTGTCACCTTGGTGGAGGACAGATGGCTAACCTAAAGCTTTTAGGTGAAACAAATATGTGTCTCCACAAACTTGGTGACAAGTTTCACTTGGATACCTCAACTAAAGCTTGTCCCTAGCACTTTGTGAATGCCTTCTCTCCTCTGCTTCCATAACCATTGCTTCCACAAATTGTGCCTATTAGACACAACTTGCTGATATTGCACATAAGGTGAATCTTAATCGTAGTACAGCACGTGAATTGTTCCAGCATTTGTCATTCCTCATTCTCTCTACTAGCTACCTACACCACCATATCCAACATATTCCCTCTCCCTGCCACCACCTCCACCACTCTATTCCCTCTCACCGTCATCACCTCCACCATGTATCTACCACTTTCCTTCAGCTTCTCTTCCCACCACACCATTATATCCACAATTCCTCTTCATCTTCTCTCCCACCGCTGCCATATGCACCAATTTTCAAATTGCAAAAGCTTATACTTTTTAATTCGAACTGTCAAACCATACCAAATATAATTTAATGGCTAAGCACTATGTCAGTCAGACAGTCACTGAATTGGGAGGGCGGGTAATTGGAAACAGAGGACTCCAAAGATATGATGGTTTTCAATAAAACTTTCAGTTGATAACCTTCAAGAGAACTTTTTGATGCTGCACCAAATAAAAAACAAATTTGAAAAATTGGATTTTTGTGTTTAAATCCATCACTGCACTTTGATGGCCAAATTGATGGCAAAAAGATTCTCCAGGAAGACCTCATAGGGGTCTATGACTGTGGGCGTTCTGAATAAACATAATAGTATAGTATAGTTCTTTTGTGTTGTCAAAAGCCTTTTTCAGACCAAAAGTTGGGTGGCGTTGTCTGATTCGCTACTTTTGCCTTGCCCTTGTGCGTGAAGTTCAAACATTGTGTTTTTTTCTACTGACTGGTCATGGATGGTTTAATAGGTACACATTAACTGAAGCTGAAGTATCTAATAGGTACAAGCCTCATTTGAGGTATTCAAGTGAAAATTGTTGCCAACTTTAGTGCGCTGTATATGTATTTCACTAAGCTTTTATCAAACACATGTTGTGACTTTATCGGAGAAGATCCCTTCAGTATCTTGAGAGGAAGAAATGAAAGGAAAATAGGAGAGGATTCAAAGAACTCAGAGGAAAAGATTAAAAAAAACATGCTTTTCTTTGGTCCCAAAAATTCTACGAATTATCTAGTTCCTTGGTTTCTTCTTGAATTTGATTTGTTTGAATTCCCACTTACTAAGATTCAATCTGTCACAGTTGTACTTTACTATAATGTGTCTCTTAGAACCTTATTGAGAATGGTCACTTGGTCAGTAACTCAGGATATCAAATACGTTTAAGAGATTTTGATGTTAACTTTTTTTAAAGCAAGAAACCTTCTATTAGTCAGTGTTTAGCCTAATTAAACTGTAACCCATATCTCCAATATCCTTTATGTCTGCTTTCTGTTTCTACTTCCGCATTCTAATTTTTGAGACAAACAAAGGTCAACAAAAGCTATAGTTACCAAACTAACCTTTAGGGGTGGAAAACCCGAAAGAGGGTCAAAAGGAATAGTGGAAAAATTAGAATACGGAGATGTTGAATTTCCTAATGTAGGTACTTTGAAGTGTAGTTTTATAATCAGTTGGTGTGGGGGTACATTCTGCAGAACTTTGCTGCAGGTAATTCCAAGGTTACATTGTAGTCACCAGGAGGCAGGAACTTCACTTATCATTAAATGAATAAGGACGGCAACAGTAATCAGTGTTGTCAAAGGTCCGTTTGAACCCTGAAGTAAGGTGCAAAACATGTTGAGTGCTTCGCCTTGCTTAGCATGTGCTTGAATGTTGTCGTCAAGACTCTAAGACATACTTTGTCTTGCCAATGAGCGTAATGAAGAGGCGATACTAAATCATTGATATTTACTATATTGCAATTTTTTTCAATTTCTTTGTCCATATATTTGTTATCCATGCGTATAGTTATTAGTCTTGGACCACACATACATATTTGTATTTTTTTTCTCCATTTACACCTTTCTTCATAGCCCACTATTTGTTTACACTTTGCGTTTAAAGCCCCAATAGGCTAGGCCTTAGAGCTGTTTTGCGCTTTTAGTAGGCATCCAAATGATGCCAACTATGTTTTGTTCTCTCCCCTCACCTCTCCCCCAATTTTGATGTAAAATTACGGTCTGATTTTACTCACGAAGGTTTAAAATGTGCAGATTCATTCAACTTGTTAGTTAACAACGGGGCAGCAGCTGGCCAGGTTATATATCACGTATGATCCCAAAACTTGCAAGCAATAGTTTGATACTATTATTGATCCAAACAGCTTCTTTTGTGTGCTTTTGCTCTAATAGCTAGTATTCTACTTAAGAATGCTTATACTTGTGATGATTTGTTTTTTCATGGCAAATTCAGACCCATATTCATATAATTCCTCGTAAAGCAAGCGATTGCCTCTGGACTTCTGAGGTACTAATTTCCCTTTACGTTCCTCATTTACGGTTGTTCTGATAGCAGTTGATAAAGTTGATTGTTTTACAGAGCTTGAGTAGATGTCCGCTGAAGTCAGATGAGGCTCAGAAACTTGCAGATGGTATTAGAGAAAACTTGTCAATTTCGAACAACATTGAAGATAGTAAGGGGAATGGATCAAGTCTCATTGTAAACTAGGGACGTTGCACACATGTTTGTCAAACTAGAGGCGGATCTAAGACATGTTCTGTCGTTCTTCAGGTCGAAGTATGCATACACATGCTAAAAAGAAAAGACATGTGTACATATCATGCAATATCACTGATTCTCAATTCACTGACTCTAGATTTTGAATTTGCCTCTGTTGTAAACTACTGTGAAAGCATGAACATACGGGAATCTTTGTTGTAAATTAGCTTGTGAACTTCTAGTGAGTGTATATGAGTAATCTTTGTTCTTCTTCTTCTTCATATCTATAAGACTCGGTGTGTTCGGTATGGTGGAAATTCCAATTTTTCATTGAAATTTTTGAAAAATATTTTCTTTAGTCTATTTGACTCATCTAAGTAAGTAATTTTATCGTCCCTGCTTATTTATTATCTCAATCATATTTATCATGTCCAAATTTTGCTTGAATCATCGACTTGACACCTCTGATTACATATGATATAATATCATTTGTTTAGATATTTTTGACTATCATAGCAATATCTTGCAATAGAAAATATACTAATACCATATAACATAAGTGATTGATTTCACACAAAACATGACTGTTAAAGTAAAATATTATTATAACAAGGTTTGACCATAAGGATATTTCTTTGGCACAAAATTTATTTTCTTTACTATTTTGTGACAAGGTCAATGTATGTTTTGATTAGAATCAGCAACCAATACAAATATATTTAATGTTTTCTGTTCAAACTATATTAAAATAATTAAAATTAGATAATTTAATTATATAGATTCGTATCCACAGAAAAAATCTAAATTGAAGTAGCAATGATTTGATAGTCCGTCCCAAAAAGAATAATATTTTTATATATAATTATAATTTAACTTTATTTTTTTATTTTTTATTTTTAATCAAATAAGTTTTAACAGCAAATTTATTAATAACTTGTTTTAGATTATATATTACATATTACGTTTCAATTTTTATTTTTATTTTAAAATTGTGGGTCTAACTAAATATGGTCGCACAAATTGAAACGTGAAAAATACTACTTTTGGCACATGAAAGCTTTTTGTATGATCATATCCACAAACTTTTCTCACACGAGAAACCTATCCATCTTATCTCCATAAAATCTTGTACTAAAATATTAAAAGTGAAAATATCATTTTATTTAATCAATGAGTGTTATGGTATGACTAATTTTTTTTAATTAGAGATCTGAAAATTGACTTTTGGTAATAGAGAATTTTTTTTACGGAGGAGCTTTTATTAAATTATTTTTAGTTGAAGTATTCTGGATTAATTTGAATTAATTGGGTTAATAAACTTTAAATATCAGATAATTAAACCAAACAAAAAAGAAATCACTTTATCATAAAACAAAATTCATCATCATTGATATATAAGTGGAACTATGATTTTGTGTTTAGATATTTAAAATTTAGAAAAAAGAAAGTTATCAAATTAAGATAAATACAGAATTTATCCTAAAACTATTGGAATCTATTAAATTGTAGGTAGAAGGCTAGCCCCGCTCCTAATCACCTATGGGAGAGAGTAGGATGAATGTGATCACAAAACTTTTCGAAAGTCTTGAAATTCCCTCATTCTTAAATAGACGTCTTGATTCGTCTTGTTTCAAATTTTGAAAATTAAGAAAGTATGGTGATCATCTCACTAGATATACATCTCAATACTAATATTGAATATTGATTTAAAAATGACAATACTTTTTTCTCTAATAATACTTATTTCTCAGAATCTGAATTAATCATATCCAAGAGATATAATTATATATATAAAAAAAAATTAAAACATTAAAATATGACCATGAAAAGGTGACTTGGGCTTGCTATGTAATAGCCTTAACCCTACAAGAAAAGGTCAGCCTAATGAATTTAGCCAACAACTCCTCTCAAAGGACAAGTAGGCTTAGCCTTATCAAGATATCTAATCTATAGAAAAGATTAAAAAACATTATCCAATTATTCTTCACCAGTACCACTCTTTTATAAAATTATAATTAGGAGTATGTCCATCTGGCTGTCATTTTGAAGTGACATTAGCCTAACTAGTAATAGTTCAAAAGTCGCTGGACCGTCCATTCTTATCTAGAGTTATTAGATTTGAGTTATGAATATGAAAAAATTCTATTAGGACTCACTCTGAAAGTCCAAATGGATCTTGTAGTGCTTGATTCGGGTTAAGTTGGTGTTGCAATGTGGACTTTGGACACCAGATGATGAAAAATCAAAAAAAGTTATTAAAAAATGCTTCACACAAAGAATAAATACTTCCTTTGTCTCAAAATAATTATCGTGTTTTTATTTATTTATATGCCTCTTAAAAAAGCAATAACAAAGAAAATATTTTAATTATTTTAGGATAAACTATCTTATTAGACATACATCACTACTATATATACTAATATTATCTTTACTTTCAAACAATTACATATATTACCACTTTTAATATTTTATACCATATATTAATATATTATTTGAAGATACAATTAGATTATTAGATACCCACATACCTTAAAATTAGGATTGATTAATTATCTGCTTAATTAACTCTTTCACTCCAAATCAACCATTATCTCTTAATTCTCCCCTCCCATATTTATCACTCAATTATGTCTCCTCCTTTATGATTCAGGAATTTCATTCCAACAATAGCTAATCTACTCTCTTCTTCTCAAGATATCATCACCATGGCCGACAAATTCTCCTGAACCCAAATATTATTATGTATTGTTCATTTATAACTAGATCAAATCAATAACTGCTACAGAGAAAACTTTAATTCAGAGTGGGTCTTGATTGTTTGTCTCCGGAAGAAATGGATCTTAGTTTTGATTATGTTATGCCACAACGCAAAAGGATCAGAGGGAGTATTGTAGAGAGCTTTTGTTTGTTGGTGTTCTTCTAAGGCTTTCTTTGGTTACCGTGACATGGATTTGGTAGTACCAATATTACTTTGATATAGCCCTTGAAACATGTGTATCCAATAAGTAGTAATCTTAATTAAGATTTGAGTTGTATTTTTAGTAATGGGGTGTCTGACCATGTATATGTATCCACCATTAAATTTTGGATACATGATTTTTAACAACACGATGATATTAATGATACGACAGATATTCTTTAGTCATGATTTGTTCCTAAATTCATGTGATTCAACTACATTTCATATTTAGATACACATAATTAAATGTATATGCTTATTATGTATTCGAGATACATGTTTTTGGATATAACGTATGAAATTTAAATACACATAATTAGATGTATATGCTTTTTCTTTTTGTATATTCCATATTTAGATACACATAATTAGATGTATATGCTTACTATGTATTCGAGATACATGTTTTTGGATATAACATATGCAATTGATACTTGATACATCAAATTAGTACTATATATAAATAGATACATAAAATTAATACTAGATACCTATAACAAATACATGAAATTAATGCTAGATACTTCTATGATACATATGAATGTACTTGCAGGACACTCATGTATCTAAGTGTTTAGTTTGTTGGATACATCATATATTGATATAGATATATCAAATTAATGAATTTATTATTTTAAGAGTAATAATTTGAAATTAATCAAATTGCATTACCAAGATATACATGTTTTTATCTTATATTAATAATATATATTAATGAATTTACTATTTCAAAGAATAATAAAATGAAATTAATTATCTATGTATTTTGAAAATCCTCAATTACTCCTCTAATTAAGGAAATCAGTTCCAACCAATTAATTTAACTAAATAAATTTTGTATCTCAATTTTAAAATTCGACAGATACTGCATGTATCTCATGGATTCAGACTCATGTATCTTAAGCATAAAATATGGTACATGAAGTAATATTTGAAACTATTGAGAATCTTAATAATTAAGACCTAAACTAGTGGGATTTATGTGGTTTGCCCATTATTTTATCCTCTTAAAATATTGTATCATGTACATCTTATTAAATGTTTGTAAGTTAAAATTAAGAGAGAAAAAACTACTTTATTTTAGTTTAGTTTCTATGATAAGTATTTTGAATAAGATAGTTTTAGTAAATATGACAAATATTATTGAGATGGAGGGGGTATGATTTTGTCTTAAATTGGAAAATTTTGTGGTTTCTCTCTTAAATTATTTTGGTATTTATTTAGTTTTGGATTTTCCAAAATATTTTGCATTAATTTATTGGTATATAATTAATTTCGAAATTATTTTATCCAATCAATTATCGTAATAATAGAATTATTATCTTATATAAAATATGTGATAAAATAATTTTACGAAATATTTCATAAAATATTCTTACTTATTTCATTCTACATATCAATAAAGGCTATCTAATCTATAACTCAGTTATTGAAATACACAAGGTTGTAATTCTACACTTTAATACAGTTTAAAGTGTGTATAATTATAAATTAATTAAACAATAACCAACATCAATTATCTAAGATGTTCCTATGACGCACATTAATTAGTAACCTAATTAAAATAGTGGCTAACCTACAATTATATCCCTAGATTATATGAACCTTTTCTATTCATTTGGGTTTTGGCTCTATTAGGATAAAAGAATATTGATATGAGGAGCGTTATATATTAAAGAATACATTTTTGATACGTTCGCAATAAAAGAAAAGGATTCATATGACTGAAAAATATGTTATATTAAAATCCAATTCATTTTATGTATATTTATGTATTATTGTGTCTCCTTGGCCGGGCTCGGTCCGGCCCAGATTAAACCCATGCAACCCTTGTATTGTCTGATGGCCAGCCCGAGGTTGCTCTACAGCCCGGCCCACTTAGGATTGAACACACCGCGCCTTCATCCAGGGGCGCACCCACATAGAGTGTGTCGGGTGCTCGAGCACCCATTAACATCGTCTAGAAATATATATCTATGTAAAAATTAAGAGGTATTTGTATAAAATTAACATAGAGCATTCAATGAACAAATGATCTGACTGGTCCATTGGTTCTTTGGTGGGTGTTTAAGGCTCTTTTAGTGTTGATTCATCCACAACTTTAAAATCCTAGATCCACCACTGCCTTCATCACTTTGTCGTCATCTTTATAACTATATTGTTCATGGAGTTTCGAACTTTGAATCCTATACATCTTTTTAAAAATATTTTACTTGAATAGGTAATATATTGAAAACAATTTATTTTTTTATCTATGCAAGGTAGAGAAAGATTTGCATTTACCCATCCTCCTTGAATTTCATTTTTAGCGATTATACAGGTAAGGACGGATCTAGGTAGGGTTAAGAGAGTTCTTTCGAACTTCTTCGATAAGAAGTTATATGGAATATATAACAGACTTTTATGTTATGTGTATATAGAGTACTAAAAGTTGATTCAATGATTTGGCGGATTCAAAATTTACTTTAAAGTTTCAAGTTCAAATTTCAAGCATTATATTTTTATTTTTTAAACGAGACAAGATATTCATTACAACTAATTCACATTAAATACAGTATATCTGTTTTTATTGTCGTATTCTACCGTATAAAATTATGAAACAATTTGTCTATTTCAAAACCTTCATTTATTTTGTTTGTTTTTTTATTAATTTTTTAGAAAACCTTCATTTATTTTGTTTGTTTTTTTATTAATTTTTTAGAAGGATCGCATTTAAAGTCGGGCATTAAAAATAAAATACTCAAATAATATGCCACGTCAACCTCATATCGATATCTTCTTTATCTAATCCCATGGATAAGATAATTTATAGTACATTTTGGGCCCATTAATCCATTAAATACATCACCATCATAATGATTATAACAAAAATTATAATAACCGTTAGATTAAATCAAATTTGATCATCAACGGTCCTAAGATCATGAGCTGTTAGCACGTGAATCTTTTGCTTAATAAAGAGAGAATAAACAAAAGCACACAATGGGTATTTGCCGCGTTACACTTTTTACACCATGTTTGGATTGATCATTTTATCTCTTTTTTCACATGGTACACAAAACGACGACGCTTTGTTAAACACAAAACGACGACTCTTTAAAAAAAAAAAAAACTCCATTATCAGAACTCAGAAGTCATCTAGTCCGGGTTACCGCCGGCAACCAGAGACCGCCGTTCATGGCGGTTTCGAACCCAACGGATCGGCACTTTACGGTGTATGCCTGATTCGATGGAGGTAAAAACAACGCCGGAGTGTTCGTCGACGAAGTGATATTCGACATCCGTTTGTACGGACCGAGCCATTTGTTCTGCATGAAACGGTGTTTCCTCCATGGAGGAAGGTGCAGTTCTCCGCTTTTCAACGATCGTCTAGCGGCATCGCTCATTGTTCTCAGTATCTGCTTTAATTCTTCGCTTTTTCCGACGAAAACCTTCGGTAGCAACTGCGATAACCGTCCGTAGAAGTTCGTCGGTCTCGCGATCTCGAATTCCGCGGCGAAATCCAAATCGACGAAGTAACGAGTTTGACTGTTAACGGCGTCCGATCGGACAACATCGATGAACTCATAGTTCCCGGCGGTAAGTCCACCGGAGCTCTCCCATTTTGCTTTACATACAGCAGCATTATAACCAAAATCTCTTAAACACATCATTACATTCCTTCTGAGTACCGATTTACTCGATTTCAAACACGAATAAACTTCTAACGCTTTAAATACATGAGAACACAGCACATTCCTAAACAAATCTGTATCGCTTTGAAAAATCATCTCCGGTACGTTATCAACTGACAACTCATCTAACTCAGTATTGGAGTTATCATTTTCCGACGACTGATTTTGATCCAAATCATCAGGGAAACCAAAAACGAGACCGGAAAAGCTAGGTGAAACGACGTCGCTATTAGCATCGGCGCTGTGTTCACTGCCGCTGCTGATGTAACCGAGTTCCCGGAGATCGGCGCCGACGATTCGAGCTTTCACTTTATCGTTTAACGGGTCCGTAACTCTCTTCATTCTGCCATTTCCGGACATTTTTGTCTTCTTCAATTTTTGTGAAGAAAATATATTAAAATTGTTTAAAACTTTTTAATTTAGGATAAATTAAGATAGAAGGTTTGGTTATATATAGAGGGGAGAAGTTTGTGGGGTTATACCTAATTAGCGAATATTCGAAAGAAGCTACGCCCTCAAAAAAAAAATGATTTTACTATTTTTATCTATGGAGCCAAATAGATTTTTGCTTTTAATATGAATTTTAATTTTATTTTTTTATTTTTTTTATCTATAAGATATCAAAACAAGGTCTTATAATGACGTCATTTGGCTAATTTTATGTTGGTTAATATTATCACAAATTTTTTTGAAAAGAAACTAATACAATAATTACAATCATATATTGAACCCAATATCTATTTGAGCTTTTACCTTGTAAAGAAAAAAAATAAGATTTATTTATATTTTATCTTGTTTAATCTTATTTATGGAATTATACCGAGTGAAATAAGGAATATGCTTTCTTGTAGGTAGAGTTATATATTTATAATAATTATGACTAAAAAGATGTAATAACTTAAAAAAACAAGAAATTAATGTGGAAATTGTATTAAAATTAGATATACTCCATGATTTTATGTTTGAGAGTTGAGACAATAAGAGTTCGGTTAATTTGAACAAACAAATATTTATATAGTTAATATAATATTTGATCTTCAAACCATTGCATTATTAATACTACATAATACGACATTTTGGTTGGTAAGATATTGTATAATCGACGGTATAATAGTAGAAATATAAAGAATAGGTGTGTTGACAAAAAAATATTTGCATAGTTAGAGTCTGAAAAGAACAAAGTTTACGTACGCAAATTTTATCTTTATCTCAGAAATAAAGAGATTATTTTTTATAGATACTCGAATAAAGTAAAGCATATTAGTGTTGACTATAAAAGAATACAATTAATTAGCATTTATTTTTGCATAAATAAGTTTAAGAACGAAAACCAACCTAAGCACGTAGAATATAAAGAAAATAAATGTGGTCTTATAATAATTTATATATCATTATCTACTGTCTAATTATTGTGTACCATATTTGTTACATAAATATAAATAGTTCATAAGCCAAACCATCATCAGCACCTAGATTAGAAAAATAAAACGTGTGGTTTTATAATAATAACAATTTACATAAAAAAAATTATTTTATAATATATTTTTACACTATAATCTTTACATTATTGCATTAATAATTCTAAAGAAACCAAAGCCTCACCACCTAGAATATTAAAAAGTACTCCATTAGTTTAGCAATAATTCACATATTGTTATCATTATCCTGATTATAACTTTCGTGGAGTATTAAGGATCCGTTTGTTCATAAAATAATATTCCTTATTAGGGGATATTTTCTTGGTTCCAATTTATTTTTTAAAAATAAAAACTAATTAATTACGTAAATATTTTTATTATATTTATTAATTTTATCTATAGTTTGAAATAATCATATATTATTTTATAATTTAATAATTTTATATCAGATTTCAAGTTAGACATACAAGTGAATCACATTAGATACACGTTATATACATGTATCTAGTATGATTCACATTTGAAATACCCTATAAACAAACGAGATTTGTTTATGTATCCCAAATATATAAAAATCATATTATATGTGTATATGATATACCAGATATAAGAGTGAGATATGAGAACGACGAACAAGATTAGAGAGAGGAAAGCAAAATTAGTCTATTTATCATAATACATGTGAATTCACTTGGATTCAGTGTATCTAGAATAAATTACTCTTAATTTTGATCCTATATATTTGAGATACATGTATCTAGATGTATTTTGATGGATCGAAATTCATTAAGATAATTATTATTACTATATTAACATATATCTAAATATTATATTATATACTTTATAAGATAAGTATAAATTAAAAAGGGGAGTGAACTGACACCTGAAAAAGGATATACTGAGTTGTATACCAGTAAAGGGCAGGGGTAAAATTGGTAATATCGAGTTTGTAGGGGGGCATATCCAAAAATGCGATAAGATTATTCTTGTCGTACATACCTGAGACGTGGTGTTCTCTTATTGGTCCACGTATAATTGAGCCATGTGAAGCATTTGTTACGCACGTGAATGTCACGTGAAGACAAAAGAAGTTGAAAAGGGATTTAAATCGTACTCATTTTTGGTTTTGGTACAGTTCATGTACAAGACTATTAATAGGTTGACTCTTTGGAAATTAGGAAGGTTAGGGGAAGAGTAAAATAGACACTACTCTCTCGGATTCATATTAGTTGTTCACGTTATATCGCATTTGATACTTATTATGATAGAGTGATAAGTAGTTATTTACGTTATAACATATTTGATACTTATGATGATAGAGTGATGAATATATCTTTACAAATTAATCAAAAAGTTGGTGTTTGAATCATAGTTATATAAAGTAACCTTTATTAAGGGCCCGTTTGGCCATGCGATATGGAATCATGAGATGAAATTGAAGTTTTGTTTGGACATGCGATATGAAATTTTTGTGTTGTATATATTCTCATAAATATAAAAATTCCATAAGTTGTAAAACTATTAAAATAACCCCAATTATTTATTCAATCTTATCAAAGAAACAAAAAATTATAAAATCGCGTAATAAATTATTACAAAGCTATTTGTTCTCCACTTAAGTAATTTTTTCATCTAACTTTAATTTAATAAATAAAATTGAACATAAATTGTAGTGTACTAGTCTTTAATATAATTCTCCCACATAGTACGGACAATAATAAATTTAAAAAAAAAAATTGAACATAAATTTTTGTCGGTGAGAATAATAAATTTTAAAAAGTAATGATGTGATTATAAATTTTATTTACATATGAAATAAATGGTTAGTAGATATAAATGTGGGGTTGTTTTAACAAAATATAATCTCGTGGATCAATTTTTGTATTAAAATATTTCAAATCATGATATGGAATTCCCATATAATTCCATATCATGATTTTTGGAGAATATGAAATCACATCTCATGATATGAAATCATGAAATGGAATCAGCGTAAAATCGCATGTCTAAACGCTGATTCCATCTCACGATATCATATCATGATATGGTATCGCATGACCAAACAGCTACAAAGAATAAGGGTAAAGTTATAGTATTGATTATGTGCTCAGTTGAATTTAGTGACTTTGATTAAAATTTTATATTTTTTGCTGAATTATTTTACTTGTCACATTTTTTTATTTACATATTTTTAGAAAAATAATGTGTTTTGACTCTCTCTAATCATTTAAAATATTAATCTTTCTTCAATGAGTATTCTCTCTAGACGGAGAAAGGCTGGAATACTATAACATCTGACAGAAAAAAAAAGACAAAATGTAGGTTTCAAATTCTAACCTCGCCTCTCAGTATCTGCTTTAATTTCATTTTGTGTATTTTAATTTAATTTGTCATAAGAGAAGAATTTGTTTTAAAAAGAATGACCTTTTTATCTTTTTAATCTGTTTAAAAAAGAATGACCTCTTTTCTTTTGGTAACATTTTAATTTCAGCTTTCCACATGGTGTGTTTAAGGCTACAAGATTAAAGGGTACATTTAACAGAACTCTAATTTAGAATCACAAGATTAAAAAGTCTTTTTTATTTTCTTAAATTTCGTGTGAAATCAAATTAAGTCATTCTTTGTAAAACGGAAGGAGTAATAATATATGCCATGCTATCTTCAGAACACTTGGTAGATGAGATGATGTAGAGTTTTGGAGTGACCTATAAAAAACTGACAGATGAAATGATGTAGAAATTTTTGGATGTATTTAAATGGATGGTTATTGTGTTATGCCTTCCTTGTGTTAGAAGAAAGTTTGCTGGCATTTGTGGGTTCACAAACATTTTGACACGTTTCTCCAATTTAGAAATCCCAAGCTAACACCACGTATTATCAGGTGGATACGACATTTCTTCTTTAAAAAAGAGGATCCGGAGAAGATTACGGGGTGAAAAATCAAATGCTTGATTAATGAAATGAAAGTTTAGATAAGTAATTAATCAGTGTAGAGTGCCTTAGACTTCCAAATTTGAAGGGTTCCATTTTCTAAAGCAATAATATTTTTTGGTTGGAAAAGTATAATGAATACTATTTCTACAAAAGATGAACTTTTAATATAAAAGAAATAATTATTAGAAAATGTTGAAAACATCATAAGTATTAGGAGTGTACAAGTCAAATTGAACCGACGAATCAAATCAAACCGAAAAAAAAAAAACCAATTTATGGTTTGGCGGTTGGAAAAAAAAACTGATCACTCTTGATTTGGTTTGGTATTTAAAGAAAAAAAAGTCAAACTAAACCCAAATCAAATCAACATAATTTATTTTATTTATAGATAAAAAATATTATTTATAATTTACTTTGTTAATAGATTTTTAGTTAGCTTATAGTTTTCAATATTTATATATTTTATTTCAAATTTAGGCTTGAAATTTTTTTGTATATATATATATATAATTTTATTTTATTTATAGATAAAAAACATTATTTATAATTTACTTTGTTAATATATTTTTAGTTAGTTTATAGTTTTCATTGTTTATATATTTTATTTCAAATTTGGGCTTGGAAAATTTGTAAATATTTTATTTTGTATTTATATCCGAAGTTACAATTATATTGTTATAAATTTTCAAATTCAAAGTTAACAATTTACTTTGTAAATATTTTATTTTGTATTCAGTTTGCATGTAGCCTTTAATCTTATTAATTTAACATAATGAGCGTTGATATTTCAAAAAAAAAGATTGTACTCATGTGAACTTTACCGTATTTTCTAAAATTTCTATTCATTTAACATTTTTTAAGTTTAATTTATCACACATGTAAGTGAAAATATATTTGATCTCCTTTTTAAACACCGTATAGTTGTAAAAAACCGAAAAAACTGATTAAAGCCGAAACCGAAAAAACTGACTTTATGTGGTTTGATTTGGTTTTTAAATTTAATAAACCGATTGATTTAGGTTTTTTTTAATTAAAAATCAAACTAAACCGACCTATGTACGCCCAGTA